TATGAAAAAAAAGTGTTGTACCATTGCGGTTAGTTGAACCAGGCCACCTCTTTGTAAATAATCAAAATAAATTTAATCCACCTTGGCTCCGACATTATTTTATGCATCTCTATTTATTTAAACGTAATTAAATATATTATTATATAATATTAACTTTATATAATAACTTTAAAAAATGCACCAAATCTTACAAATTTTTAGTCAATTTTTTTTAAATAAACTTAATAGTGTAATTTTTTTAAAAGCACCTTTGCTTTAGATTAAATATTAAGATCAAAATAAAAAATTAATTAATATACATTATAAATCATCTTTTCATTTAATAACACAATTAATTCATATAATAATTCACTAAATTTAAATTAAAATTAAATTTTAAACCACAAATAAATTACAATATTACTGCTCAGCGACGCAACCATTTTGTCTCAATTTGTCCATTTTGTCTTGGCTATAGTCTCATTTTATAGTTGTGAAACCTTATTCAATAGACACAAACACAAAAATATTGACATGTCTTGTACATTAGAGTTTATGAAAAATTACGGTACGCAAAGGAATTGTTGTAGTATAGTACAATATGCTTAAATAACTTTTAAAAGTTAATTCTTAATGTCCTAGAAAGTAAAATAATTTAAACGTCTCCAAAAACGTGACTACAAAATACTGTCAATTTGAGAACTCATTTTGTACATTGCCTTGTTTATGTAGGCCGTGGGTGGATGTGTATTATAAAAACGCGTTTGTCATCGCTAAATGGTTTTGAGAAATTCTCTGTATTCAAAGTAGTCATGGACAATATCGTTCATTTCCGTGATTCGTTCTGAACGAACTACTATTTTTCACTGACCGATTATAAAATCTCGTTCAATAGTTCATTTCCTTCACTTCCCTTCTGTATAGATATATTGCATGTTTTTTGGTTATAATTATATGACTATTCGTATTTATGGTTAATTTTAAAAAAAGAATATGTAATGGGTTTGTGAATTAGTAATAAGTTTTAAACCACAAAATGTCTCTACTTTAAACCATAAAGTTTAAAACGTAAAGAAAAATTTAAAACTTACTTAAAAAACTGTTATAAGAAATTGTAAGTAATTTGTTATATGTGAGAAAATGAAAATTTTTAACTATTTGAGTTTAAATTTATTATTCCTTATAAGAAATTTATAGAATAATTATAATTATCTTTATTTTTAATCTTTATTTTTAAAAAAATCCTAAAAAAAATCTGATCTCCTATTCCAAATTTTTTAAACTTTTGTTTTATTTACTTTAATATTTTATTTTAATCCATATTACGTTAGAATGTTAACTTAAAATAACTAATTTTTGTTTAGTTTTTTTTTTTATTGAAAATATTTAGGTAAAAAAGCGATCATAGTTAAAATTAAATGCTTCCTTCTTTTTATTTTATACCGGTAGCTTTCAATTTGAATCAACTAGTCTAATTTTTCAATTTTCTTATTTAGGTAGATTTGGTCATTTTTATTTGTATTGCGTTTATATTAGGCAATAGGCAAGTGTGACGTAAATCGGTCAATTTTATTTGTATAAGTATTGCATTTTATTTATATTTGATTAGTTCTCGTTCGTTTTTATTTGTATTGGATTAAGTATATCGTTCAATTTTACTTGTATTTTATTTGGTGACCAGACACCTCATCATACGAGACATTTCATCATTGTAACATTTCATCATTGTAACATTTCATCATTATAGCAATTCATCATTGCACATTTCAACATTATAGCAATTCATCATTATTGTATTTCATCACCATAACAATATAAATGATGCGCTTTAGATTTGTCATGATTTGAATTAGTCATGTGTCGTTCGCGAACGAACTAATATTCAAGAACGAATCACTTCACTGAACTATCCATCCCTAATCTCATGTATTCCGATAGATTTTATGTTTTGTTTAACTTGGTTTTTGTTGTTTGTCAACGTATTAATAGGATTCATGCAAAAGTGAGCACAATGTACATCCTTTCCTTATGAAGGAGTTTGGATTATATACATACATTACTTTGTACATACAAATATGCATATATGTATGTACAAAGTATTTGTAACAAAGTATATCTAATAATAAGTAGTTCGACTCGTTCCATTCCGTTATTTTTCGTTTGCTTGACACTTCCAAAATCTTAAAATATTCCATTTTTTTTTAGAAATAGGTGGTAATAAGAGTTGTGTAGGTGAGAAAAAAACAAGATATTGTAAACAAACGAGTTTTTCAAAAACATTGAACTGAAATAAAATTAAATTAAGTTAGCTAAAAATGTCTTGTTAGGTTATTTTTATTTTGTTACCAATTTTTTTTTTTATATTTTATTTTTCATTTCATAAAAGTTAAAGTAAAAACATTCTAATGTACGATAAATTTAAAATTTCTATGATGTAGTAATATGTTTACCCGTTTAAATGGCGGCTTCAAACTTATTATTGTCTATATAAACGTTACTTGACCTGAAGCCGACTTCACTCAAGTCGCTTACTTGACTTGAAATGTTAATGATTTGAAATTTAATAGCTAACATAGTAAAAACGCAACTTGAGTTTCGAGCTGATTTCACATCAAGCCGCAATGTAGGCATAGAAATTAAGCAATTTATAAAAAAAAATGCCTATTACCGATACGCGTGTATGTATGTACATTCATAAGAAATATTTGTTTTGAATTTTTATAACAAAATTAAAGTAAAAATAAAAAATTCATAGTTTATATTTTAGATTTGTCATGATTTGAATTAGTCATGTGTCGTTCGCGAACGAACTAATATTCAAGAACGAATCACTTCACTGAACTATCCATCCCTAATCTCATGTATTCCGATAGATTTTATGTTTTGTTTAACTTGGTTTTTGTTGTTTGTCAACGTATTAATAGGATTCATGCAAAAGTGAGCACAATGTACATCCTTTGCTTATGAAGGAGTTTGAATTATATACATACATTACTTTGTACATACAAATATGCATATATGTATGTACAAAGTATTTGTAACAAAGTATATCTAATAATAAGTAGTTCGACTCGTTCCATTCCGTTATTTTTCATTTGCTTGACACTTCCAAAATCTTAAAATATTCCATTTTTTTTTAGAAATAGGTGGTAATAAGAGTTGTGTAGGTGAGAAAAAAACAAGATATTGTAAACAAACGAGTTTTTCAAAAACATTGAACTGAAATAAAATTAAATTAAGTTAGCTAAAAATGTCTTGTTAGGTTATTTTTATTTTGTTACCAATTTTTTTTTTTATATTTTATTTTTCATTTCATAAAAGTTAAAGTAAAAACATTCTAATGTACGATAAATTTAAAATTTCTATGATGTAGTAATATGTTTACCCGTTTAAATGGCGGCTTCAAACTTATTATTGTCTATATAAACGTTACTTGACCTGAAGCCGACTTCACTCAAGTCGCTTACTTGACTTGAAATGTTAATGATTTGAAATTTAATAGCTAACATAGTAAAAACGCAACTTGAGTTTCGAGCTGATTTCACATCAAGCCGCAATGTAGGCATAGAAATTAAGCAATTTATAAAAAAAAATGCCTATTACCGATACGCGTGTATGTATGTACATTCATAAGAAATATTTGTTTTGAATTTTTATAACAAAATTAAAGTAAAAATAAAAAATTCATAGTTTATATTACAATAAACGTAATGAGAACTACCAATTACAAATTTTAGGTTTTTTGTTAATGTTATTTGTCATTTCAAATTACTTTTTCAAATTATATACATATAATAATATGTAAATTATAATTGTTTTTATTTTAATACTCAAAATTTTTTTTAAATCGCTTTGCATTTATAATATGGATACACCATTTCTGCCACCTTGTACTCGAATAAGTTACAGAAATAAAACTCCCGCTTTTAAAATTCTTAATATTTTTTCCTGTACTTTATATACGAAAAAATAAATAACTTTTGCTTTTAAAAATATATTTAAAAAAAAACAGGTAAACGTCTATCACAATATTTGTGATTTGGTTTTGTGTCGTTTCTGTCGTAAAATTGTCCAAATCTGCTTCGTTTACAGATTTCAATACTAGAAAAAGCGGTGATTTGTGCTTTTCTCGTGCATATTCTAGTAACTCAAAGTTTTCAATAATCATATCACGGTCGTTTGCATTGTTATTTTCAAAGGCGGACGCACTTTCACCATATATGTGTTGATACAACATGTTCTTCAAAATTTTATAGACAAAATAATTAATACATTAAAAATTTTAGAAAGACAAATTTGAAAAAAATAGCTAAAAACTAAAGACATATGTATTATGTATGTATGTTTAACAACCATTTCTAACGCTTGCACACCTTCTTGTGGTTTTGCTATTGTTTTGACAAAAAACCTGAAATCTTTAAAATTTTTACCAACCGCAAAGCAAGTAGAAGAGCAAGTAATATTTAAGCTTCTACTCTTTACTAAAATTAACAATATTATGTTAAATTGTACCTTATCTTCTTCCGTCAATGGAGATCTTAACTCTTTTTCGGAAAATTTCAAACAAGTGACTGTTCCATCCCCACTACATGCCCACTACTGGGCCCCATGATAAATCCAGAACGCTATCCTGAAACTACAAATCATGTATTACAACCATTGGCCGTTGTAAGGCCGTCATCCAAACCGACAAAGATCTATCTCTCGATCCTACAGCAAGGCAACAGTAATGTTGAGATTTTTTTGTTTTCGGCGCGCGCCTTTTTAAAATTGAATTGTGAAATCGAACACATGTAACTGCTTTGCGATGCCCAACAAAGTATTTGTCACATTTACAACTTTCTCGCTCAATTATTTGAGCAGTAGGACCACCACCATTCATAGCATGAGCAGATACTAAATACTGGCCATCAGGAGACCAGCTTAACCTTAAAATATGTGTAGTACCACCACACTCTTCAAAAGGGTCTGTTATAGTATTATTACAATAATTCAGAATATTTTAAGAATTTAGAAGCAAAATGCAAATGAAAACTAACGGAATGGAATGATTCGAACTACTTATTATTAGATATACTTTGATTGCATTGGAGTGATAAAAATGGAGAGTCGAACTACTTATTAATATATATACTTTGTATTTTTAATAAAATAATTCGGATAAACACTTATTGGTATCAAACACGACTGACAGATATTTATTGTAATGTCAAGGTATTAAAACAAAACATACCTTATTTAATTTTCAGTTTAAAGTTTGGAAAAACTATTGCAATTTTAAGTGACAAAATATATAAGAAATGAAGCTTCTTAAACCGCATTGGGTGCATCATGATGGTAAATTCATACTATTGAAATAAATCCTGAATTAAATTACCAAATTATTAGAAAAGCCTATATTTTCTGTGGATATTCACCCAAATTGCTTGAAATTTGCTACCGGAGGTCAAGGAAATGATTCAGGCCGCGTTGTCGTTTGGAATTTGTTGCCAGTTATATCCGAGGAAGCAGAGGAAGATGAAAATATACCAAAAATACTTTGTCAAATGGATAATCATCTAGCTTGTGTGAATTGTGTTCGTTGGTCAGAAAATGGCCAAATGTTGGCTTCAGGCTCTGACGACAAATTAGTTATGATTTGGAAGATGTGCAAAGGTCCAAGTGGAGTATTCGGAACAGACGGAATAACCAAAAATCCTGAAAGTTGGAAATGCATATATACACTTCGAGGACACTCTGGTGACGTTCTAGATGTAGCTTGGTCTCCTGGAGACAGAAGGCTCGCAAGTTGTAGTGTGGACAATTCAATTATAATTTGGGATGCTCAGGCTTTTCCTACAATCATTAGTGTTCTTAAAGGTCACACTGGTTTGGTAAAAGGAGTTGCTTGGGACCCGGTAGAAAAATTTTTGGCGTCACAGAGTGATGATCGCAGCATAAAAATTTGGAAAACAAGTGATTGGAATTGTAATAATACTATAACAGACCCTTTTGAAGAGTGTGGTGGTACTACACATATTTTAAGGTTAAGCTGGTCTCCTGATGGCCAGTATTTAGTATCTGCTCATGCTATGAATGGTGGTGGACCTACTGCTCAAATAATTGAACGAGAAGGTTGGAAATGCGACAAGGACTTTGTTGGGCACCGCAAAGCAGTTACATGTGTTCGATTTCACAATTCAATTTTAAAAAGGCACGCACCGAAAACGAAAAAATCTCAACAATACTGTTGCCTTGCTGTAGGATCGAGAGATAGATCTTTGTCGGTTTGGATGACGGCCTTACAACGGCCAATGGTTGTAATACATGATTTGTTTCAGGATAGCGTTCTGGATTTATCATGGGGCCCAGAAAAGTGTGTCCTTTTGGCATGTAGTGGGGATGGAACAGTCGCTTGTTTGCAATTTTCCGAAAAAGAGCTAGGAACTCCATTGTCGGAAGAAGATAAGGTAATATTTAACATAATATTGTTAATTTTAGTAAAAAGTTGTAGCTTAAATATTACTTGCTCTTCTACTTGCTTTGCGGTTGGTAAAAATTTTAAAGATTTCAGATTTTTTGTCAAAACATTTGCAAAACTACAAGAAGGTGTGCAAGCGTTAGAAATGGTTGTAAAGCATGCATACATATACATATGTATTTAGTTTTTAGCTTTTTTTTCAAATTTGTCTTTCTAAATTTTTATTGTATTAATTATTTTGTCTATAAAATTTTGAAGAACATGTTGTATCACCGCATATATGGTAAAAGTGCGTCCGCCTTTGAAAATAACAATGCAAACGACCGTGATATGGTTATTGAAAACTCTGAGTTACTAGAATATGCACAAGAAAAGCACAAACCACCGGTTTTGCCAGTATTGAAATCTGTAAACAAAGCAGATTTGGACAATTTTTCGACAGAAACGACACAAAATCAAATCACAAATGTTCATTTAAAAACTGCAATCAACAAGCAAATCGAAACTATAACAGTGGATGGTAAAAGAAGAATAACACCAGTTTTTATTCCTCTTAGCTTGGAAGGGTATGGAAAAAATATGAACTAACAATTTTATTTAATATCTGTTTGATTTTTAAGGGAAAAGAACATATCCGAATTTATTAGTTCGTCCAGAATAAATTGTACAGTCCCAAAAGAAAAAATCCATAATCTCACAAAAACTGATCAAAATACTATTTCTGCTAAAATAACTACTGTTGAAAAAGCACATTTGGACAATCGTCTGACAAAAACAGTAATTTCTGCTCCAGCAAAAAGTTCAGGCATATCAAATTCTATAATCACTCAAACTAAGCAAATTCGTCAAAATTCAATTATCAATGTACCAAACAAACTTAACATAATACAAAATCATTCCATTAGCTCATGTAAAACTTCCAACGAAACTTCTAAAATTGCCGGCGATTTTCGAGTTTTTGTTAAAAACTCATTTTTAAAAACATCTGTTGGAGCTTTGTGCAGGGTCAATGCTTTGTTATTGAGTACTGGTGAAAAGTTATGGGAAAAATTAATAGGTTTTTCTGTTAGTGTTGATAGAAAGAAAGAAATTTAAAATTTTTTATTTTAGGATCTGCAGTGGCAAATTTCAGTGTTTCCGTGAAGTACGTTATGATTTGCACATTAGACGGAAATATAAGATTTCTCTTTACTAAAAATGGAAGTGTCGTTGTTCCGATTTTATCAATATCTACAGCAGCTACTCAATGTGCTTTTGTTCGTAGAGCTATTGACGTAAAAAAAAAATTTTTTAATTGAATTTAATTTTAGTGTCCATCAGGTAAATTAGCTGGTGTTATATCTGAATGTGGTTCATTGAAAATTTGGAATGTTGAGGAGAAAAAAATCTTTATATCCGCATCATGTTCTGAAATGTTCAAAAAGTGTGGTCAAGTAATTCAATTTAGCATTACTGAAAGCGGAACACCAATTGTTTTGTTTTGCAATGGTACTTCATACTCGTACTCTGAGACAATGAAGTGTTGGTTAGTTTTAAACTCCCAAGATCCCGTTATAATGCATGGATTGCAGTCTACTATACCAAAAGATTTACAGAAAAATTTTGCAAAATATCCTCTTATGTCCGTCCAAGCTGCTACATTTGGTCATCAATCATTTTTGGACATGTAAGTAATCATTTTTCCTTCCATGTTTTCTAGTATTTATTTTTTGTTGTGTGTTCTTTTTTTTTTAAAGCAATTCAAGTAAATTCCTTTCCGGGGCAAAATTAGATTTTATAGAAAACCAAATCAAGTTATCTGAATTAATTAATGCTCCCGATGAATTAATATATTGGTATTCCATGTTAGGCTACTTTTTGTGCACTGAAGGTACAGAAAAAAAAATGCGGAGTGTACTGGATGATTTAGCAAAAACAAGCAACTTGTATTCAAGTCATTCAAACTATTGTAATCGTGTTTTGGTAAGTTATGCTTCCAGAATAATTAGTTGAAATATTCATTCTACAGATTTAATATACATACGATGTATCATAATAATATATAATCTTTTTCAATTCCTTAAAATACGTATTACTTATAACTATAGGTATTTTACATAATTTAAAACACCTAAGGTTAAAACTTTAAGAATTGTTAAATGTGTACATAAAGTGTACTGGTACGCAAGGCCTAACATTTCTCCCGGTAAGGTAAGGCCCTCGAGTTATGAGACCGCAAAATTGGAATTTCTGGAAATCGTCTAGTTTTTGTATTTTATTATTAGCTCGGGAAATATTGCACGTAGAACCAATTTTGTATATACAGGATACTGTTGAGAGTTTTCACCTGGCTCCTGCGCAACCTTTGCAAGCTAAGTATCTATGAAACCTAATATCTATGATGAAGAGCTTCAAGCATTTCTGCGGGACCCTTCTGCATCTACTCAATTAGTTGAACTTCTCAAAACAGTGCCACGATGCTCCGATACTTCACCTCGGTTTTCTTTTCTACTGTTTCTCCGCATACTCGAGTTGTATGCAGACGTTCCTGTTTTCTTCCCTTAGTAGAGGACACCAAGGTCGTCTTGTTCGGATTAGGTTCTCTGCACTATGTTGCAAAGAGTTTCCTCAAACTTCCACCTAGCGATGATAACAAGGTCATCAGCGTAGACTTGGACGTCTATGTCCTAGCGGCCGAGCTACTCTAGTTGTTCATCAACCACATTAAACTCCACATTAGTGGAGAAAGAAATATACCCTGTGGACATCTCCTTGTTATATAGATGGAATCCTTGTAGTCAACATCCTGCCATCCAGAGCGATGTCGTGGTATCCACGTCTCTGCTGCCCCCAATCCGTAATATCATCAGCCCTGTGTCCTTTTGTAGAGATTATGAATAAGCAATGGCAACACAATTTTTCGGAGTTTCAAAATCAGTATTTTATTTCAACTGTCAAAAGTTTATTTATGTTTTTTTTGAAAGGATATTTTTTGAAAACTAGGTTTTGCAGTTTTTTCCTTTTGGAGTCTTTTTGAAAAGTGAATTAATTTCGTTTCATGGTAGCTGTTTTGGAAGAACTCAAATTCAAACAAAAAACTTGCTTTTACGTGTGAATATTTCTTTCGTAGACTAATGACGGCCGCGTGATTCTGATATGATTACTTTCTCCACTGTTTTTCTGATGATCCATTACTTTTTCCACTGTCTTTAGTAAAAAAAAGAGGTGAGGCTGATTGACCTAAAAGACTTGGGCACAATGAATCTTCTCTCCACCTTGGAAACTACAGTAAGCAAAATGTATTTTTAGAAGAAGAAGATCCCTATGCTCCTCATTCTCTGTGAGTTTACCACCCGACCTTCTCAAAATGCTGTGGTTACACCATTCCAAGGCCCTTCTCGCCATGCTTTATTTATGGCGAAAGCCTACGAACCTTTCCTCTGAGGTTTTCTATTAGAAATGAAGTTTGAAAATTTCCTACATTATATTTCTCTAGATATTCTTTAATTACATGTTTTAACAACAAGAAACCTCATTTATTAGCACTTTTATAAAAATTTTTTGAAAAAAAGTGCTTATTAGTTTCACTCTGTCCGTTCGTCCGTCTGAAATTTTATACGTGCATAGATCTTTACTAGAAACTTATTTCCGTAGAACAAAATTTTTACCTATCTCACCTCCTCCAAAAATCCCCTTTTGTAACTATTTTTTGCAACGAAACCATAAGCATTTTTCAAATTTTGCAAACGCAGAATGGCAGTGGCTTGCTTCTATCGTAGCATACCATAGTTAAGCTATAAAAAAAACAAAATGGCCGTTCAAATTTACCGTTATCTAAAATCCGTTTTTTCCAAATTTTTGATGTCGTTTTTCTTCTAGACTCCAGGTTGTAGCAGCCATTAGCAGCTTTTAGATAAATAGTTTATTTTGTTAGAAGAAAATTTTTTTCTCAATTTTCTCACCCCTCAAATTATCGCCTCTTGAAATATGAAAAATTTGAATTTTTGATGCCTTCCGAAATTTTGATTTTTAATGATTTCCGAAACCGTAAGCCTTTTCAAATTTCTGTAAACGCAAAAACGGTAAATTCCGTGACATTAAAAAATGTAATTATTTTTCTTAACTCACGCAATTAACCTTTAAAATCGAGTTAAGCCCTCTTTAAATTAATTTTTGCATTATTTCAAAGACTGCATAAATCGTTCATCTTATATATGCAATCCTAGAAATAGATTCGTATATGAATGAAAATATTTTCAATAGTGTGGTAAATATACTAGACTGTGTTCAAAAGCAGTATTTTCACGAATTGTTGAGGGGAAAAGTGCTGCATTACAAACCATTGGTTTGACCCAACTTTATTATTATCGCTGTTGCTCCGTGCCTCGTTATGTGGATTTACACCATACCCAATGATTAGTGATCAGTTCTTTCCTTTGCAGTCCCACCTGCTTTTGCATCTCCAGTAATGGGACGAGTTCAACGTTTTCCGCAAAGTGCGCCGACGCCAAAACACCTTCCATGACAGGGAGACATATTAATTGTTTTTTTCTATTAGAATGCTAATGTGTCCGCTACATTCTCAGTTAAGGATTCCTTGTTCGGCTGTTCCATACCCTTCGGAGAGTCCTACCCCATCGCTTATTTTTGTTCCTGCTTTTGAGGCTTCTGCTTGTCTCTTTGCTGTGAACGGAAGCAAACCGGGGCCGCAGAATATAACCGTCCTGACTGTTGACTTCAGCTGACGTCAACACCAATCATTTAAACGAAGGTATCATCTGCGCTGATTCCACGACTTTTGGGATCACCTAAGCCTTAAGCTCAATGTGGAATTAGATTACCCTCCGTTCTTTTATCAGTGCTACTGTTGTTAAAAGGGTCAGATGATGGAGCTTGGCCTTCATTCTTCTTGCAACCCTTTCCTCAAGTATTGTCTAATAAGTGTTTTCCCAAACTGTGACGATCCTATCCTGTTTTCTGTTTGGTTTTTGTTTTGTTTTTTTGTTTTTATTTTTATTCCCATTCATGTCTTCGTTCCACGAGTGGCTAGGACATGAGTGGTCCGCTACGTCAGAGCTCTGCATGGCGTAGTAAGATCATAATAGTCCCTGAGGTGTCAAGGATACTCCGTTTGCGACAGCTAGTACATTTCTTTCGATTATAGGTATACGAGCCCGCCGGTGGTTTAGTATTAGACTAATACCGTTACTAGATGCCCAGTAAGACACTTAGTTTTTCAGACCCCCCTCTCCAGATCATCAAAATACCGGAGTGCTAGACAGTGTTACCGCGGAGTGTCCGCCGACAAAGCTTATTCTAATATAGGCATATGGTTTTCATAGACAATCTTGAACTTTTTCTGAAGCATAGTAATCAATATCGAAAAAAAGAAATCAAAAAATATTACTTCTTTGTTACCTTTCTTATTTATAATTATGATGTAATGATTATTTGAATATATCATTATATGAGCTTTATTTTTTTGCAGACTACATTAAGTTTGTTTATGCAAAAAAAATGAAGAAAAAATTATTGTTGTTCTTTGGATATCTCGTTTTATTTACGTATTTATGGTATCTTCTATTATTTTATTTATTTATGATTAATATTTAAAATTTTAGTCAATACAGAAATTATGGTAAACATTAGTTTGTACGTTACCCAGCATTTACACATACAAGTTACTTGCATGCAAGTTTGTATAATATTAATTGTCAATTAGTTGTTCGAAATGTCAAATTACTTGCTATTATGACGTAGGCGTTTAGCAAGTTAATTTTTGAAAATGTCTTTGAGAAGAAAACAACTAGCAATATATATAATATAAATTTTAGAAACCATAAGTTTGCTAAGTTTAATTTTTTCAAAACAAAATTCAAAAATTTTAAATTAAAAAAAAAAAAAATCAAAACAACAAATTTTTTTTGTGAATTTCTCAATATGTCAAATTACTTGCTCAAATTACTGGCAGCAAAATTTTCTTGCAAGTTGAACTGCAAGTAAACAAGCAAGTAGAAATATTTCAATGTGTTAGTAAAATTTTTGTATGTATTGCAACTTTCTTGCAAGTAACTTGTACGTGTAAATGCTGGGTTAGACTAAAATATTTGTCAATTTTATTTATGTAAAAATTTTTATGATATTATGTTATAACAACGTAAAAATTGAAAAATTTAAAATCAAGTTTTCAAAAAAAGTTTTAGCAAAATGTCAATTGATTTCTTTCATATAATCTCTTATTTGATAACAAAAAATTTATTAAAACAGTAAAAATAAAAAGTTGATTTAATCGAAATTACAGTTAGAATTTCCATTCAGTCAAAAAGTAAAAGTAAAAGTTTTCAAAATTTTATGCTGCATTTTAGGAAAATAGAAACTTAATAACTAGCACTTTATAGCTGAATGTACGTTATATGCTTGTTTATTTAATTGGTTATTTCTGGCAATATTTATATGACATGTAGAAGAAAAGCGTGCTCGATTTTTTCGATACCCGATTAACTTTTATTTTACTACGTATAGAACGCATTTAGGAAAGTGTACAGTATCAAGATCTAATGTCTTTACATCTAACAAGTCCCAATACTCAATTTCTTTTTACGAAATAATTTTTGGCTTCGTTCCTGTTTTTTTCTTTAAATTCTACTGATCGTGTCATATTTCTTATTATTTTTTTCTTTTTTTTACGTAAAAAAGAGTTTAATATTTTAAAAAATCTCAGGATAATATACACATTTTTTAAAAAGCTTCCCATTTAAATTCTATTGCACGAAAAAGAAAGAAAGGTAGGAGGAAAGAAAAAATGAAAAAAAATTTCAAATTCCAATTTCAGTATGGTTTCAAATGTTAATGAAGAAGGATGTATGATTTTTCATGCACATTTTGTATTTCCCAATAAGGTAAGTTGAGTAGTGTCGGCTAACAAAAATGTTAATATAAGTAATATAGGTTGACACATTTCAACAATTTAAATTATCTCATTGCGGTTTTTTATACGTTACTTATAAAATTGTTTCAAATAATTTCTGTGAGTTTTTAAGTTATTAAAAATAAATATGTATGTACCTACTTCCAATCAATTTTTTTTTTAAATAATTACTTTAAAACTATTTCAAACTTGTTATATTTGCTTCAAAAATTTTGTTGTGCTCTTCTTTCATATTTTACAAGCAGGTAAACAAGAGCAATCTATTTATAAACTGTCCCTGCATGTGTATGTATGACCTTTCTTAATTCTAAACGGAAAGAATATTACATAAAGAACAAAAATTTTAAAATACCTGTTATTTTACAGTCGGAATTTTTGAGTCATTTGATAAAGTACCATTTTTTTCAAAAATAGAAAAATATTCAAATCCGGTCATAAAAATGTATGATTGTTTTTTCCAAACATTTTAAATATTTTTTTCTTTGGTAATTGATATAAATGATAGTAAGTTTTTAATATTTTTCTCAAATAAAAATAGAGGTAAAATTTTGAAGTTTATATAAAATTTGTATTTAAAAAATAATATTTGATTGCATTTATTTTATTTTTCATATTATTTTCTAATTCCCTCTTCAAATTTTTTCTTTACTATGTATTCATATCAATATTTAATAATTATCTTTCATTAATTATATTTTCAACTTGAGACCACAGTTACTTCCCATAACTTGAGTTAACTTACCCTATGAGAAAAAAAAGCTGTTCACTTAAAAATAATGAAATGCTTTCAGTAACATATAAAACGTTGAAGGCGAAGGCTGTGCTTGTTGTTTTTCCGCAATTTCAACAATTTTAAAGTAGTTATGAATGAAAATATTAATAAATTTTTTGATTTTTCAAATATATTTTCTAAATTTTACCTGCTTTATAATAAGTGTGAATTTAGTTTAATATTTCTTCTCAAAAAATAACCACTTCGATTTAAAAAAACCCATATAAAATAAGGTCTTGCTTTCAAGTTTCTCTCTGAGCATTGGGACTTGTTAGATATAAAGACATTACAAGATCTTTTACTAAACTTTTTGGAATGTGATACTTTGTAAAGTTTACGTCGTAAGCGCAATAATTGAAGTTACTGATATTTATAAAGTTTTTAAAAGTTTTTAAAAGTTTGCGACAAATTACGTCATTGATTCTCTTTTTAAAGCTTTTTCAAGTTTTATCCCAGACGGACTTACAAACGCAAAACTTTTTCTCTCAACAGTTTTTTTCTCTTCTTATTTAAGAAGATCTTTCTGTTTATTTCTTACCAGGATTAAGGCCAACTAGCGTTTTAAATGCTAAAAAAGCATTACTTTTTGCTACGAAAGGCAAATATTTCGATTTTAGCATTTAGAGTATTTTAAGCATTTTTTTATTACGAGTATTTAGTATTGTTTTTTTTGTAAGCCAAGCTATATGCTATTTGTCTCGAAAACTTTACGACATTAAAAATTTCAAATTAATGTTTTCGTGTTTTACATACCTAGCAAATTAATGAAGACATTTACTTAGCCTAACCTGAAACAATAATCTAGCAATTCGAAAAAAAACAAATTATATTGTGAACGATAATTTTTATGATAACATCCTGGTGACATTTGTTGCATATTTGTAATAAACTAAAGTTAACTGGAAATAATTTAATATTTGGGAAATTTTGACAAACTTTTTTCAATTCAATTTTATTGTGAATTCAATTCAATTTTATTGTGAATGTTATTTTTTCTAATTATTTCATTTTGCAAAGTTTCATTTATTTGTAAATGATTTAATTTAATTTAAAACAGATTTCATTTAATTTGAAAAAGGTTTGTTATACTATATACATATATATACATATAAATTTAATAAATTTACTAATATTAAATAATTACAGATATAAAATATTCTACATAATTATTTTTTATGATTTAAATCAAAACTATCTGGTGTAATAACTTATAAAAAATTATAGAAGTTAAATATTTACTTTGATATTAATCTCGAATTATTTAAGAATGTGTTACTATTTCAATATTATTTTTTGCTTTAAAAACTCTTAAAAAAAAATTTTGAATTATTTTTGGAATATATTTTTTAGCAGTGTTTTTATACCTGATTTTACGTTGAAGCCTGCTTTAATAAGATTTTAAAAAATGGGTTGATAAGTTCGTTTTGAAGGTGCATTAAAAAAAAAATTATTTGCAATTTTATATGCAATTTTATATCAATTTAGAAATTTTTGTAATTTACGAACTTACCTTTCTTCCAAATGCAAGTCTACCAAATTAAACAGAAAAATTTTTTAAAAGAAATTGAAAAAAAAAATAAATATTGAAATGATTCATAATCCAGATGCCTTTTGCAAACATACTTAAATTAAATAAAGATAAATAATAACATGTTATTCGTGTAGTGTGAATAGGGCATAAGAAAGAGGCACAAAGAACGCCTTTTTTTTATTTGTGAAAAAAATTTACATTAACAGAGGTTTATTATTATCCCAGCTATTACATTAACAGAGGAGGTTATTATCCCAGCTATTTTTATTTAATGTAAAAATACATTAAATAAAAATAGCTGGGAAAAATAAAACATATCGAAATTATGTAGTAAGAAATTACGTTATAGGAGGGATTGCTGTATTGATAAAAATATGCATGTGTGTGCGAAAACGATTTTTATCCAAATTGCTCCAATATTTAAAAGATGTGCAAAAACACCTTCATTCTTCCCTCACTGCCTCTCAAATATTAGAATACCAAAAAAATGATGCAAATGACTAGTTTTTAGATGAGCATGTAAGTATAGTCAAACAATAATATTTTAATGTTAAATTAAAGAAATTATGTTTTCGGAATTACACCTTTATTTCTCTATAATGTTTTATAGGAAATGAAAGTAAATTATTTGATCTTTAATTTTATACCAACTACTAAGGAAAAGTTTTAGTAATAATACTCGTAATGTCTAGAAAGCGAATCGATTTCGAAACTTATTAAAAACCAAAAAAGATAGAGTTATGAAATTGGATATCAAAATACTTTTCAAAAGGGAGATTATAAACTAAAATTAACATTTAACTTTTTCTTACTATAATTATTACTACTTTTTATATATCCCGTAATGAAAAATTTTATAATTTAATAGTTGTTAAAAAAACCAACTTTGACGTCAGCTTTGAAGAAGAAGGGTGGAAAATAGGAAAGCGTTTCTTATTATTTTTTGTTCGTCTGGAATGATAGAAAAGTCTTCGCTAATATTTACTCGATTTCTATTTTACGTTTGGCATATACTTAGTTATTAATTTTAGTTAATATTTAGTTATTCTCCTTATTTATTGTAATATAGTTTATTATAATATACCTTGCAATTTTATCGCAAAATTAAATTTGTACAGGGTGTTTGACATTTTCGCATAATTTCAGGGAATTGATCAATTCCAGCAAAAAATTGTAAGGGTTGGGGAGCGGGGGAGGGCCTGCGGATATACTCGTATTTGAACTACAGCCTGTTGAAAAAAAAGTACCAGATTTTTTTTGCGTGTCAAAAAATGCTTATAAAAACGGGACCATGCGGCATAGAGCAAACATCGAGAGGCGAGTTGTGTGCTTTACAGGCGATTGATTTCTCTTTACTTTTAGTTTTACAATCAATTTTATCTGAGGCATAATTTTCGAGATAAAGCTCCTCAAAATCAGAAATTTTGTATTTTTTTTTTTGTAAAAACCCGATATTTCTCGAAAACCTTTGTTATTTTGTTTTTGTTTTCCTTGATGTGCTACGATGCGAGCTAAAAGTTAATTCTTATAATATTTTCCTCTATCTCTCATAGCTTTGCCAGAAAAACGTGTTAAATGAAATTGTTTGTCACCTTATTCGAAACACCCTGTATATGTACGCATCTTAATACATTTCAATACATTCCGTATTAATAAAATGTTATTAATATATTCAACATTCATAATATATTCAATTCATAATATATAGCCATGTATATAGCCATGTTATATAAATGTATTTTAGAAGATAAGCCCATGCGATTTTGTTACATGTTCATAGATTTTTGGAGTATTTTTTCCAATCTTTCCTTCACTCAAACACTCCAATTTACTTGTTTTCTATTTTCGTTTAAAAATTTTCGAAACGGTCACTTAGAAATAGTTTTTTTTTTGTAATTCAGGTCATCTGACTGTTCCAATCTTAATAAGCAACAGCTCTTTATTTCTGGGATACTTTTCGGGTTCAAAAGTTTTTTTGCTTCAAACAAGCGATATCGGCTTGTACAAGCGATATCTGATTTCCTACATAAAAATTTAGAGGGTTTTGAAGTCCCACTAAAAGTTGCATCGTGGAGGTTACACAATTTGTGCTATTAAAGACTTCTTCGAGCAATATCTCCCAAACATCAGGGATTCTACATTCTACAACGCACAAAGCATAATGGGATTGGGTTATGGAGTCTTTTTAAGTTTGGTTCGTATCATTTTGCTTTAGAATTTTAAATAGTTACAGCATTTACATGCATTTCGGAAAACCATCTTTCATATCGTCAATTATCATCAATTAAATCTATCGTCAATTATCATCATATTAAATTAATGGAAAATATAACCATAGTTGTCTTTATGGCAACTGCTCATCAATAAAGATTAAAAATATTTATTTCATTTTTGATTTTAATTTTTTAACGTTTTTAAAAATTTATTCAAATTTTTGGAATTTCATGTACATATTACAATATATTCACGTATAACAATAACTATTATATAAATACAATAAATTTAAATTTAAATTTGAAAAGTTTTGTTCTATCTTTATACATAAGTATGCAATTGCATGTTAATGAAAGTAACATATAATAATAACAATTTTTTCAAAATCTTTTTTTTAATATCCATTTCAGAACACAGAAAAATGTATGTTTTTGAAAACTATTTTAAATATTCTAAAATCCCATTCAAAGTGGCAAAGAATTTATATGGAATACAATGAGCAATTAAACTTGCAACAAACTGATCATATAGAAGAAAATAATAGTATAGATAACACGCTTTAGCAGAATGCGCAAATCGAATATATGAAAATATTGATTTATATACTCGTATGATTTTTATTTACGTTTTATTTGATTTTTCAATTTGCATTATCGACAGAAGTATGTGTTGAGAATAACAGTATATATAAAATTTGAAAAAATAAAATGTTGTAAAATAATAACTCATTCATTAATAACAAAAATCTCTTATTATACTTAAAAATATTTTCAAAGCATTTTACCAATTTAACGTTCTATTATGATTGGATTTTATGAAGCTCATCTATGACACAATAGTAAGTAATGTATTAAATAGTAATTATCTTAGAATTAAATTGAAGATGTTTTATTATCATAAATTAAAAGTCTTTATATATAATTTTACAAAAGTTAATATAGATCACTTAAAAACTTGTGTCTTTACCTGCACGTTACAATTCGGAACGACTTATGCTGATACTATTATACATTACAATTTATTCTTATTTCTACATAACTCTTGTATATTCTTAATTGGAATTGAAACACTTACGATAAGCATATTACTCGTAACTGTTGGAAAAATATATAAACAAAGAATATTTCATGGATGTAGGTTAAAATAACAATCAACTTACAGTTTGATCAGAATTCTATTATTTAACGTAGGTCATAATAATATGTTGCAGCATATTTTGTTTACTGCAGTATATCCTAAAATACTATGCTGGGATATTTGTTGAAAAAAAGTAGATTTTTAAATTGGGCATCTGTTTCCTCCAAAGCATTTACAAATTCCGTTTTTTTTTTACTTTTACAGTTATTGGATTATGGATTTCACTCATTTTTGAAACTAAAAAAGATATAAAATTATCATTTTAACTAAAATATATATGTTTCGGAACTTACGTTAGAGCACTCATGAGATGGTTCCTTGAAATTTTTTAAGAAAATATTCTTCGAGTGAAAGGCAGGGGCCGAACGTCTAAGACTAGTTTTGGAAGGTTTAAAAAAACCAAAACAGAAAATCATAAAATTTTACAATAAAAATATTTAGAGGCTCATGTAAGAAAAATGCTCGTGGTATCACATTGAATGTATGTTATTTTTAGTCCATATTAATCCACAAAAGCTCTGTACTGTAAATGTGCAGCTTTAAAGCAACTCCTATTAATGTGCATCTCTTAGTGCATAGACTCCTATAATGTACAAGCCATGTTAATATTTTTGTATTTGTGTCTATTGATTAAAGTTGTACAAAAAATGAGACTATGGTATTCTTTAGTCCATATATAAATTTCGTACGGGAAGGCTGTGCCGCTGTGCGGTAAAACAATTTATTTGCTGTTTAAAATTTAATTAAAATTTAGTGAATAATTATATTAATTTTTTGTGTTATTAATTAAAATGAAGATTTATAATATATATAAATAAATTTTTTCTTTTGTTTTTCATATTTGGTATGAAACAAAGGTGGATTTTGAAAAAATTTCTACTAAAATTTATTTAAAAAGAAAAATCACTTAATAAATTAGTAAGATTTGATGTACTTTTTAAAGTTTGAATTGTAATCATATTTAAATAAAATATAAAAGTACAGTTGATTACCTTCATATAAATAGAATTGCCCCAAAAGTGTTGCGTCGAAGGATGCAGAAGCAATAGTCTACGAGAAAAGGAGAACGTAAATGCTATACCTACATTTACTTTGCCAAAGAACAAAGTCATCAGGGACAAATGGATACGAGCATTAGAAAACCTACTAATGTTAAGATTTTAACAATTTAAATAAGTATGCAATTTAATCTCTGATAAAAGAAAATTAAAAAATTTTGTGAATTAAGTTGAGCACATAGGTACATTTATGTCATAGAACTTTCACGAATACGTCTATAATTGGACACACAACTGCCAAATTTCATAAATCTGACTTTATTATTTTTCCAAATATTTAAAATAAGCTTTATTCTTGTATGGGAGCTACTCGAACCGGTCAAGCCATTCAAACAAAACTTCAGAAATATATCTGACCTATAATTGGACACACAACTGCCAAGTTTCATAAATCTGACTTTATTATTTTTCCAAATATTTAAAATAAGCTTTAGGCTTGTATGGGAGCTACTCGAACCGGTCAAGCCATTCAAACAAAACTTCAGAAATATATCTGACCTATAATTGGACACACAACTGCCAAGTTTCATGAATCTGACTTTATTATTTTTCCAAATATTTAAAATAAGCTTTTAGACTTGTATGGGAGCTACTCGAGGCTGTCAAGCAATTCAACCAAAACTTTCCATTAAAATTTTTAGAGCATGTGTAGAATATAATTGAACACATGTTAGTTTAGTTATTAGTTTTTGAAAAATTTAAAATAAACTCTTTGAGTTGTATGGCAGCTACCCGAACCCGTTGTCCGAATTAGTCCAATTACAATAGGGTTCGTCCCTGGCACAAAAGAAACAACCTGTGAAAGTTTGGTGTCGATGGCATTATTCGTTTTTGAGTTATCTTGCAATCGGACGGACGGACGGACATGTCTAAATCATCGCAGAATTTTACGATGAGCAAAAATATACATATATACATGTCCATACCGCAGATGACTCCTTCAAGTAGTTACAAACTCCATGCCAAAGTTAACATACCCTTTAGGAAGTGCAGGGTATAAAAAACGGATTTTTTGATAATAACAAATTTTTTAAATTTTCAAAATATGAAGCGAAATTTCGAATTAGACACAGTGTTACTTTTTAAATCTTTCATTATCCAGTAGCAATTCATAAAATATAACTCCAAGTAGTGTTAGAGAACTATGGATACATTGAACCATCAATAGTTTCGATATTTCGTCGCAAAACTATCGCGATATATCGATAGTTTTATAACGCAACTTGCTATGTAGTATAACCGGTGGTCCCCATTAAATTTGCAAAGAAGTATATAGAATATAGAAGTATTTGTAAAGAAGTAGAATCTACTATAGAATATAGAAGTATTTGTAAAGAAGTAATAGTGGTATACATGTGATTATAACCACACATGGAATGAATAAAACAAGTAAGTATATAAGTAATATTATTTGAAAAATATCAACTATATTTAGACTTATCAGCGGCTTACGCAGGCATTGTAATGTGCATAATATTTACTTTAAATATTTCTCTTTTGGTAACTTTTTATTCTATATTTTATTGATAAAAAATCGTTTGTTGTTTTAAACTTTTTGAATTTGTCATTTGCTTAAGCAAAAAAATTTTTTTGTTGGTTGCCAATAAACTGACAAGTTGTGATATTTTAGAATATTAGTTAAATTATTGTATACATTGAAACATTTATGCCAAAAACTCGCTTATGTAAACGCTCAGTTAAATTCGGTATTTAAACGGCATGTTGTGTGTTAAACTTCAACTTTGACATGATTTTTCCCTTGTTCATTCTAAAGAAAGAATATTAAAGAAACTCAATGCCAGCTTCACTCCAAGTATTCACGAAATATTTTGAATAAAATAAGGGAACATAGAAACTGAAAGAAGAAATTTTCAATATTAAAAGATGTAACATAATTAGTGAAATATGAATGTAAATTAACGTATATACGTTTGGAAATAATGTTATGGAATTCATGAAATTCAAAACCATATTCCGTTCTCGCCCATTTTTCAAAATTTATTAATTGGCAAGAAGTGATGTTTATTTGACGATAGTATTAAGTATATCGACTTTAAAACCATCGATAGTTTCGATAGTTGAAAACTATCAACAGTATCGATAGTGCAATCGACAGTTCTCGACCTTTAATCCAGGATCGCTAAACGGTAAAATAATTTTATTTGTTTAAAATTTAATTTAAATTTAAATTTAGTGAATATTTATTATTTGTGTTATTAAATAAATCGAAGAATGTTTATATTATGTAGTATAAAAAAAAGGTGCTTTTGAAAGAATAATACTAAAGCTTATTTAAAAGATAAATAGCTGAATGAGTTGGTAAGATTTGGTGTATTTTGTAAAGTTTTTATTGTATGCATATTAAAATAAAACGTAATGATATATTTGATTACTTTTATATAAATAGAAATACCAGGAAGATGTAGCGTCCAAGGTTGCATTTCTATAAGAAACAGTAGTCTACGAGAAAATGAAAATGTGAATTTTTTCAAAGAACGAGGTAACAATAAAGCATATTATTAGCTTTAAGAAAAATGGATTCAAAATTTCCCTTTTTTATTTAAATATGATATGTAGTTGATAAAAAAAGTGAATTGTTTTTTCAAAAAGAATTCTTATTATGTATGTATTTACTATTTTTGTTTTACGTTAAAAACAAAATAAATTACCTAAAACCAGTGTTGTTACTTATAATTCATTATTTTAGTTTGTGAGAACATGCAATTTAATTTTGTTATTTAAAAAGGAAATAAAATAATTTCTGTATAATATATTTTGTATTTAATCGTTTTTTATTTTCCAAACATTCCAAATCAACATGAACATTTCTAATTCATACGAAAATACGAGTACCTAATATAACAATATATTTCTTAACAAAAAGTATGCTGATCAATTTTGAATACACCGTATGTATGGATTAGTAAATTGTGCATTACCCACAGACATCTTTATATTATAAGACTTGACAATACACAATTTACTAATACATTCATACGGTGTATTGAAAATTAATTATCGTACTTCTTGTTAAGAAATATATTTTTATATTAGGTATTTTCGAATAAATAAGAAATGTTCATGGTGATGTTGGATGTTTTAAAAATAAAAATGATTAAACACAAAATATATATGCCCAGAATTTATTTTATTTCATATAAATAATAATAAAATTAAATTTCAAACTAGAATAATAATACAATCTTACAAACTAGAATAATAAATCATAGGTAACAAAATATTTTTTAGGTAGTACAAAAATAGCAAATACATAAAAAAAGATGTTTTTGAAAAAAATATTTTTGAATTCACTTTTTTTATTACCGACCGTATTGTGTATACAATAGGTAGGT